GAGCCGTTATGGCTAATGCAAAGCGAAATTTGAAGTTTAAGCTCTCTCGGTTAAAACAAAGCTTCATGCGGATGCTCTCGTGCGATCATGAGTCGTAGGCCGTGACTGTAGAAATTTGGCCCCAGGGACAAGTGGCTGAAATGCGTTTTCTGACACAAATGATTAGGTTGGAGTCTCACTGATATCGCGATGATTTTAAAATACAGATACCTGAGAGAGCATCTATGCATAGCCGCTGCTTCTTCGGCTTCAGAAGTCACAGCTGCGACGGTTTGTGGAACTGATGTGAATGCATCCAGAATGGAAGGCGAAGCAGCTCTTACTTTCACAAATGACCTGCAGAAAACCCCCTGGGACAGCCAGTAATAACTTGTAAAAGTGTCTTCATTCTGTTCTAGAATCGGGTGATTTTTGCCGAATCTCAAAATTTGTCACAATATCTGGAACGCTAAAGATACTCTCTGATAGGTTTACCTCCGTGATTCAAAAGGATAAACTGCCATAGATACTGAATGACTGACTGCTTTAAGTCCAACAATAAATACTGTCGCCGCAACAATGAGTACTGATTTCACGTTTTTGGCATCAAAAACTGCATTTGTTGTACTTTAAGGCAAGCAACAGACTGAATAACGTCGCTCATTCGTTGAATGACTCCGTTTTCGCTGTATTAAGACGTTCACTTGGTTTAACTCGTAGCACGTTTCAGCGTCGTTCCCATGCCTGGAAAACCTCACCGTTCAACGTCCGCACGTTTCAGAGGCAACTACGCAGCTTCTTCTCGCTTCTGAAATGTCATACTTATTGGTGTAACTATTTGAATCTTCCTGTGGATGCAGACTACTAATCACAGAGGCGTGGCAAACAGCGAGCGGCGTGACAAAATCGACATGCAGCGAATGAAGTAGGAAACAGAAAACTTACGTCTATCGTCATTCTATTTTCATTCAATTTTCTGTACTCGCAGTCCCTTTAAAGTACAATAGAAACATTATTGCAACCACGCCTTGATAAGTAAGCCGCTATCAAAGTTGACCGTGCCAGTTCGCATGCAGAGGGCATAAAAGCTTTTTTGATACTGTAGCACACCTAACAAGTGTAGTGGCCAAAACATTTGACGCTGGCTATTTTAGAAGTACAGTACATTCAATGTCGTGGGTTGTGTAAAGTTCTTAGCAACTCCTTGTTCTCTCGATTTTAATCCAAACACCGTCTACCGTTAGGCAACTATTTCTTCGACAAAGCTCTGTTCGTAAGGATAATCGGGTTCAGGTTTCTACTCTACGTGGCAGTTCAGGAACTTTACAGGGATCAATCCTATTCATTTATTTTTATTTAAATGTCCCTTAAGGAAGACGAAAAGTGGTCAACTCATCGAAGAACAGATTAAGATATTACAAATGTTAGACAAGTAAAACACTTCACAACTGGGACTAGGCGATGATAATTTTGCCAGACGCAGTCGAGGCTACCGCATCTTTTTCCAGAGCTACTGTTCTTCTTTGCTGCATCCAACAGCTACTTTTTTATCTGGTTAGAGGCCATTAAGTATCTAACTGTAAAGGGCATAAACAGTTTGTTGTAATCCTCAATCCGGACGATGTCGAGAACACGTAAGGCCAGTGACTCGTCTCAGAATATCGATTTCAGCAGCTTGTACGGAAGATCGAAGTTTTTCTGATCGTGGCTCACGATACATGACCCTAGGTGAATATCGGAATGAAGTTCTGCCTCAGCACAGTCAGCTTAGTCTTCAGACTCAGCTCTGCCTTAATCACACGGTTCAAGCTGGCTCATGTAGGACGTCATCGGTTATTTACATTCGTCTGTCGATCTCTTCGATCTATTTTCCTTCACCAGTAGACACAACCCAGAAGAACTTGAACTTTCCCATGTGTTTCACTGCTTCTCCGCTCATGTGATGAAAACAACTAACAGGAGAACGAGAAAGTACCAAGGTTTCGTTTTAAAAGCATTCACATACATGCCAGCCACGTCGCATTCCACTGCAAACCTTTACAGAAAGCGCAGGAGATCAGTTTCAGAAGATGCAAGCACAATAGGGTCCTCTGCAATCAGCAATTTTCTCGTCTCGACATCTTCTACACTGATACATTCCTCATCTTAGCCGTGCCTGACTATTTTATCCATATACAACACAGACAACAGAAGGACAGAACACACTCCTGGTGGAGACCATCGCCAACGTCTGAAGGTCTTGAATAAATGTCATTTACTCTGACGCAGTACCTGCTACCAACATACAGTATCTAGTTCACTCGTAGCAACTAGGCATCGACCCTATATGTTCGCAGGAACGCCACAAATTGTTGCGTCAGACCAGGAATCTCTCCAGGTCAATGAAGCATATACAAACCAGATGGACAAACTTCGACGGTTTCTCAACAATCTGGGTTAGGGTGAAGATCTGGTGAAAGGTACTTCGGTCTGACTTGAAGCCACCTCACTCATCTTGCATATTAAAGTCAGCTATTCTGCGGCAATGCTCTTCAGCCACTTTAGCTACACTTTCCAAGGAAGGCTCAGGAAAGTGACGCCTTGATATAAAGAATATTCCCTATGGTCTTCCTTGTCGAACAGTAATGCAACAACCCGTGTTTCCGCACGCTGGTCCCCGTTTGACCTAAGAACGATGCCAACTTCAACGTTTCCTTATGTCATGCTAGTTTTGGAGGTTCTCTAATAAAGTGGGGCATGGGGGCAATCTTTTGAATCCATAAGGAATGTGCATATCCGCATCTTTCTTGATGAGGCTGCTGGAGAGGGATTAGGGAGAGGTAGTGGCAACGTTTCACATGTTTGAATTTACAGGTTGATCAGGATGGATGTTGCGGCACTCCAACGAAATTTTGACCCAATTAATGAGCGTTCTTTTTTTGTCTAACATCACAAACCAGAAGTCGGTTATTTGTTCCTTTTGGCCTGAAACAGCTTCTAGAGAGCCCCGTAAGTCTTCCATCTCAGGATTGCTGACAACGCGTTACGGTATCTGTACCGTATGGAAAATCCATTTCACGATACTTTGCCTTACATAGCACTCCATTCTGTGCGACGCTACTTAGTCCTCATGACTCAGAAGAGAGGTTAGAATTTGAATACCTTACAACTGAAAGCAGAAACTTGCTTTAAGATCACCTCGTGCTTCCACTGATGACATCTACCATTAAATTTAGAAAGTGCAATCAATTCTTATCTAGCAATTCATCCACATGCCATTGAGTTGTTCCAGCGGATATTCTGAATGGCATTTGACAGTGCCTTAACATTAAACAACTTGAAGATTCGCTTAAATTGATTATGTTAATTTACTTCAATGTCAAGTGATCAAAAAATTTTGTGCACAACAGCATTTACTTCTTTCGAAATTTCCGGCAGTGCAGCATTGACTCCTCAGAAAAAATGAAACCGTGGTCATTTAATTAATTATTCGATTAATGACAAATTTACGAATATGACTCTCATATCTGATTGTTAGAGTACACGGCTACGTGGCAGAAAATCAAGCCGGATTGCCAATAGTGTCCAAATCACATTCTGCTCCGATGTTCAAAGGATTAATGTGGTCGCTGGACGCAGTAGCAAGACAGGTCACACAACTGAGTTGCCGATTATGTTTGAATTTAATTGATTGGATAGGAGGACAGTATGTTTTATAAGATTCCTGATTCAAATATTGAAACTGAATTGTCTTCGGATTTCAGAAGATATTAAATATTTTATTTAATTCAGTATATAGTAATCCGCAGTAGTCTTTTCAGAGCAAGGCAGAACTAGCGATGCGACGACCGTACATATAAAGAGTTCATGGCACATTGTGTGTTGCGAATGCCTCCAGAAAGGATAACTAAGCAACTGTTCCTTGCAAATCCGACCGGCAAAAGGCCCAGGGGACGGCCAAGATTAACCTTGTTCAAACATATGGAAGGAGTCTGTTCCAGACTGCATTTGTCTTTTGCCGAAGCTCAGACTCTGGCACAGGATCGGGAACGTTGAGAGCTCTGTCTGACGCGTATGCCTCCACGACTCGAAAGGAGCAGCGGCGATGGAAGATGCTGGTGATGATGATGAGGGCACATTATTGCAAAAGTTAAACACCGTGCCAAACAACCGATTTCACCCTACTTCTTTACGCTCCGGCGTTCGGTCTACTGTAATATTTCAAAGTTTTCATGCAGTAAGCGATTCGACCTTCCTTCCTTTGGTAGTATGGGCTTGTTAAAACGGAACCTAGTTAGTTTGTTGGGAGTTTTATAGGATGACTGTTAATCTGATATTACGTCATGAATCGTGTAATTCTTTAAATATGCAATCACCAATACTGGCAATCTTGAAGGGTTCATTTTTCGAAAATATTTTACTGGTGTTAATTGATGAATGACTCAGAATTATTGCATGGGAAAACGTTGAGAATTTGCATT